TTGTGGGAAAGCCTATCTCATCAAAAATGTCATTTTCAAGCTGCACAATATTGTCTCCCAGAAAAGAAACCGGCTTCCCAACTTTAAAACTCGCTACTATATCATGATCTGGACAATAAATATTAGTCAGTAAAATTTTTCAAGCAAATCATGTTAAATCACTTTCATGATCATATATTCAACTGGTCCAACCCTTAGGAAACATGGAATTGTCAATACCATGGGCCAGCCTCAGTCACAAAAACATATAAGCAACTACTGCAATTATTATTCGAATGCAGGGACTTGTAACAAAGTTGATGCATCGACTATAACTCTCAAACCTTAAAAAGAAACTGGAATTTCTTGGCAGTAGGAATTTACGACTAAAACCAATATCAATCACAAGTATTCATATGCAACGTACATGAAGTAGAAACCGATACTAATGATCTATTCTATGTTGTTTAAATTTGATTCTAAACACAAATGTATACATTTAGCAGCTAGCTCGAATTATGAAATTAAAAAAATTGCAGTAAATAACCAAAAGAGATCCAAAATATTGAGTCATGTAATCACACGTGTTAAGAAACTAAATGAAGGAGTAAACTCCATCTTAGTTCTGGAAAATATTCTTCTATTTCCATCTCCAAATTTCCTCTAAATTTTAGGGAAAGAAATGTGAATACTAAATCATACGGAATCATTTTCGATCATATACACCGTCAATAAATTAAATAACGACGTATGTCATCAAAACTTTTTAAGAATAAACTTAAATAACTTCAATTTTTTATAACTTATTATCATTAGAACCACTAACAATATATAATTCTATATATATACGTATTATCGAAATGATTTATCTTATTTTGTTAATTGATGATATAATCATATAACTGATAATTAACACTCTTAAACCCAGTTTCCTCTAATGGAATTTTAATTATTTTTTAATATATATATATATATATAAATCTAAAGAAAATCAAATTGATATGATTCTTTTTTCCTCTACATATCTTCTCTTCAGTTCATACATTCCCAGAAACAATCAGAAATATGAAGCTAAAGAAAGCAAAAACAAAATCCCAGATCCATGCATACACATATATATATTTGATTATATGAAAATAGAGAGAGGGAGGTGGGAAAGTACCTTTGAACCTGGAATCGAGATCCAGATCAGAGCGATCTGAAGAATGAAGAAAAGGGGTCAACCAAAATAAAGCAGAAAGAAAGAGAGCAAGAGCAAACATCACGACGACGAAGCATCGAAGGCCAATGCGAGTGTTTCTGGATCCACAAGCAACGAATCTAAAGCTCAAGCTCGAAATCGAAGCGTTCGATTCCTCGACTGATACTTCATTGCTCACATTCGAACTCAGTCTCTGTTGTTCTTCAGTTTTTCCCATAGCTCATCATCATTTTCCCTCAAGCTCCATTCCCTTGTTGATTACCCTTTGCTTTTGCTTTCACCATTGTTGCTCTCGTTTTTCACCTGTAAAAAAACTCAGCACCGAATGTTTACATATTGATTTGTAGGAGACTGACAAAGCTTGTCTTTGTGCAAGTTTGTTTTTTGTTCTAAATTTTTTTACAGGTAAAGACAAGAAGAAATGTAGGGTTTGAAGATGAAGAAAATAGAATCAAATCTCTATCTTCTTCAAGTGTCTGCTTTTTTTTTAAGATAAAAGCATGGACATCAATTTTGGTGGAATTTCTCTATAAAAAATTATTATTATTTATTGTATAAATTACTTTATTACCATTAAATTTCAGGATTTGTGTGGATTTTACCACTAAACTTTTAAATTGAATGATTTGTACCATTGAACTTAGATTTTTAACTTCAATTTTAGGCATTGGATAATTTTAAATTTTAACTTCCTTCGATTTTTTAACCTTTAGACATATAAATTTGATTTTCTATACATAAATATATTATTATTTATAAAGATTCGATACATGTAATTGTACCACAAAATTTTTGATATTTTCATTTTGCTCTTTGTAATTTTAATTTCTTTTCAATTTGGTTTATGTCATGTGAAAAAATTACAATCAAACTAAAGGTCTCAACAATTATCACTTAGTCTAAAAATATTAATGACAGTTGATGAATAGATTAACATCCACTTATACGATTTAAACTCTTTAGTTTTACACAAATTTATGATTGTTGGATGAGTGAAAATAGATGACTAAGATTGATTCCTCGGTTTTTTCAACGAATATCTTCTCATTTTCTACTGTTAATCTCAGTTATCTATTTTCACTCATCCAATGATCTTAAATATGTGTAAAATTAAAAGAGTTTTACATTATGTAACATGATACTATTCCGTTGACGAATACTTTAGCACAAAATTTCACCCCACAAACATATTATTTTTCTCCCAATTACAGTAGATTTCACATCTAAGACCTTGAATAATTCTCAATAAAGTCACGATATATAAACAAAGTCATTTTTTAAAAACTCTTAAAATATGTGATTAACAAAACATGTATTTCACTTCAAATGATGAAAATTTTTACATTTGATAGGTGTTATTTTCATAAATAATTGTTCAATCTGTTATATTTATAAATAATTATTTAAATAATAAAATCGATATTCTTTATTCAATTAGACATTGTTGTCTTTATTCAAGTCGTTCTTAAGACATATAATGAGTTCTTTACTCGTGTAAGAATAAAGAATTATTTTTCTCTTGATCTTTAAATTTATATATTTTTAATAATTTTTTTGAAGTTTTGTTAAAATATTTAAAGAGTGATATTAGTACCGATAAATAAAGACAGATTATAAATTAGTCGAGCATCGAAACAATGACAAAGTGCAGGAAAGACGCACAAGAAACAAGATCATAGACCAGAAAAGAAAGACAATACAGCTTGCAGGAAAACTACTAATACCACAAAAAGCAACACAAAGACGAAGGAAAACTGACACTAAACTAAGCAGAACCACACACCAAGTTTGCTTCATAGTTCATACATCATTGCCACTATCAGTTTCAATAGACGACGATCGTCTGCTATGCAGCTCCAATGAACAATATATTTGCATCCATGCTCTTCACATTCAAGGGCTAGATCTTGGCGGGGCTCACCACATCTAATGCATCCGGGGTAGTAATAGATCTTCTTGACGAAAGTGAGAGGATGTCGATGACCATCGTATGTGTATTTTCAGCCGGCCTTGATAAATTGGTATTTCCCAAGAGAACATTGAATGTGTAGTATTGTCACAAGTTTCACGGCGATAAAACCATCGTTGTGGATCCCTTTCTTCTTCGCATATGTCGCAATAATGTCGCAACGGATAATCATCGGGATCATGATAAGTATCAAAGAATGTTTGTCACGCATATGCCAAACAGTGCGTGGTATTGTAATGCATCTGTCATCCAAAGCAAATGTGCAATCCTCGCATCTCTGTATAAAAATATCACTTGAATATTTGCCACAAGCACTGCACTTCCCTATATACTTGTGATCAAAGAAGAGGAAACGTGGCTTATCTGCTTGATATGTAAAACTGTGAGGTACTGAAGCACATCTAAGACAAAAGCGCCACGAATTATCTGCTCTGTAGGAGAAACCATTACCCTTATAATGACACTGAACACATGAAAATACCTTCTGTGAGAAGACTGAACGGCTTTGCATAAACCCATAACCAACACATCCTCCGCAATTCTGCACAAGCCTTGTGCAAAAGGAAATCACACTGTGAACAATGGTAAAATGCGGAAAGAATAGGTAGAACACAATCATTGCAATATTTATTTTCCTTAAATCTCATTTGAAAATATCAAATTGTGTTCATGACTAATATGTTCTATCTCTATAGGTACTACATCTCCGACTTTGGTTTCCTTGATGATACAAATGATAGAACTCAGATTCATCAAAAAAATAAATCATATTCCTAAAATTCGTCTGGATTTTCTACCTCAACCACATTATGCAAACCCTTGTTCTCAATGGTACACTTGACATGGATAATAAAATCGCAGTCAGGCCGAGAACAATAATAACTCCCATGCTCGATGTTCACTTTTTCAAAAAAGATTTTTGCAATCCCAGTCTCTAGAATCACGGTGCTCAGTGCAGATGGAAAAGCAATGAGAAATGGGATGGGGATGGAGTGAGTTTGATATGACGTGGCAATGAAATGCAATCTTCATGAACTTGAATGTTACAGATAGAACAGATATAGGAAACATAATTTCCCTGATTGTCACATGCATCACAAAAGAATGGGTTATTTGGTCTTAATAACAAAGTGAAAGGATGATCGTGATGAGATTTGTCTTAAATAATGGGTGGTGGCCAAGCACATCCCAGGTGTACATAAAACTTGCAAGGGATACGACCATAAAATAATCCCAACAGAATACTGCTTTGGCACAGGTTGCATTCAGGGTATTCATCAAAACCATTGGAAACGATAAAAAGATGGTGTGTACAGTGGCAAAGGTGATTAATTGTTGAGGGTAGTTCAAGACAACTTTTATGGAAGAACTCTCTACATTCAAAACATGCGTAAGGAGCATCATCGATTTTTATCGGATCGAGGCAACCATAGCACTCAAAAGATCCAATTACATTAATGGAAAACAAAGGATGAGGGTGACAAGCATGGACGGTTTCAATGAATTTTCCAGTAGAGTCGCATGGAAACAAAGCACAGTTAATATGAAGGTAAAATTCACAAGAAGAACAATGATAAACAAAGCCCTTAAACAAGTAGTTGCTGCAAAAGCTGCAACGAACTTCTCTTTCGATTGGACCTTGAAATGTCCATAAGATTAACATGAAATGATTTTATACAGAGCAATTCTGTTCCTATGAACAACAATTTTATCTCCTTGAGAAGGTTATAAAATCACATTATCTATAAAGCATATGGTAATTAGTTGAGCTTATTTATTGGTTTAATACATAACTAGCAGTTTTAGTTCAGACTAAAGCAGTTTCATGCATCCTGTCATGTCCACTATAATTAGCAACGTCCTGTCATGAACAACAATTCTTCCTTGAGAAGGTTATAAAAATCACATTATCTATAAATCACAATATATTTGCATCCTTGCTCTATACACTCAAGGGCTAGATCTTCGCACGGCTCACGACATCGAACGCATTCGGTATAGTAATAGATTTTCTTGACAAAAGTGAGAGAATGTGGATGACCTTTATATGCATATTTGCTTCCGGCATTGATAAACGGATACTTTCCAAAAACACATTCAATATGCATAGCATTGTCACAAGTTTCACAATGATAAAACCATTTCTGTGGATCTCTTTCTTCTTCACAGATATCACAGTTTCGTCGCAGTGGATAGTCATCGAGATCTTGATAAGCAAGTGTCAAAGTATGTTGATCACTCTTATGCCAAGCAATGCGTCGAAACATAACACATCTCGAATCCAAAGCAAACGTGCAATCCTTGCACCTGTATTTGAAGGTAGACATCACATATTCACAAGAATTGCACTTCATTTCGTACTTGTGATCAAAGAAGAGGAAATGTGGCTCATCTGCTTGATATGTAAAACTGTGAGACACTACAGCACATCTAAGACAGAAACACCAGAAAGCATTCACTCTATAGGAGAAACCACTACCCATATAATGACAGTGAAAACATCTAAAAACACCATCTGTGAAGAGATTGAATGGCTTTGCATTAAACCATAGCTGACACATCCTACGCAATTCAGCACATTCCTTGTGCAAAAAGAAATCACAAAATGAACAATAGAAAATGATGATAGGATAGGTAGCACACAACCATTGCAATATTTCTTATCCTTAATCTCATCTGAGAATATCAAGTTGTGTTCATGACTAACATGTTCTATCTCTGCAGCTATTACATCATCTCCGACTTTAATTTCCTTGATAATACGAATGATGGAACTCATAATTCTTCAGACAATGAATCGGATTCCTCAAATGCGTCCGGATTTTCAACCTCAACCACACAATACAATCTCTTGTTCTTAATAGAGCACTCGGCATGGATAACAAAATCACAACCTGACCGAGAACAATAATAACTCCCATGCTCGATGTCTACTTTTTTGTAACAGATTTTGCAATCCCAAGTTCTAGAATCATTGTGGTCAACACAAAAGAAAAAACAGTGGGAAATGGGATGGGAATGAAGATTGAGTCGAAAGTGGCGTGGCAATGAAATGCAGTCCTTATGAACTAGAATGTTACATGTAGAACAAATATAAGATACATAATTTCCTTGGTTGCCACATGCATTGCAATCGAATGGGTCATTTGGTTTTAACAACAAAGTAAAAGGGTGATCATGATGAGCTTTATCTTCAATGATGGTTGGTGGCCAAGCATGTGCTGCATTTAGAGAATTCTTCAGCGAAATCATTGAAAACCGGAAAAAGTTTGTGTTTACGGTGGCAAGGGTGATACAAGACATTTCTTGAGGAAGAACTTTCTACAGTCAAAACAAGCATACGAAGCATCATCTATTTCTATTGGATCTCTACAACCGTCGCAGTTAAAAGATCCAATTGGGTTAATGGAGATCAAAGGATGAGGGTGGGCAACATGAATGGCCTCAATCAAGTTTCCAGCAGTGTCCCGTGGAAGCAAAGCGCAATTAAAGTCAAGGTGAAATCCACAAGAAGAACAATAATAATTAAACCCCTTAACCTTTTTACGGCAAACGTCACAAGAAACTCCTCTTTTTGGATGATGGTATGTTGGAAGAAGAAGACAGTGGCGGTGAGCAGGGTGATGAATCTCCAAGGGCAATCTCTGCACATTTTTTGTGGAGGTAAAACCCGCACTTCCCGCAGCTATAGCTCGGACCCAACAACTTTTCCGCACAGCCAGCGAAGTCGTGAGTGGCGTCGCTTGGACTGCTGGTGTCTTCGTTGAATACTAACGGATAGGGATGACACCTGTGATGAAGCTCCGTCATGTTTCTTTTTCTTTTTTTTCGGCGTCGTTCCTCTGTTCCAAATTTTTATCACTTACAGTAGCAGCTCTATGCTTGGCTCCATCTCTTGTAATGTCCAGTCGTTTCTAATCAAATCATTATTGTCAGCTGTCCCTTATTTTTTTATTTAATCACCTCTATCCGATGAAACTATAAATTAATTTAAATCAAATTTTATAAAAATTTATGATAGAAGCCACCATTTTAATCTAATTTATTCAATAAGATACTTGAGTTAAAAAAATTGAATTAGTGAAATTGATGAGTCATATTTTATTATTTAAATTTAATTAAAAAATTTTAAATTTAATCGAATTTATAAAATTTGGCAAATTATTTTCGTTTATCTTCAAATTTAATTATAATTAGTTATAATATAATGATATGTATTGATTTCATTTGAATGACTTTCTCTAATCATACAAGATATACATATATATATTTTTCATATCATTTTTTACACTTGTAAATAAAATTATAATTTTATTTAATAAATTAAATATTATCTAAAACCATACAACATATTTATAATCTTTTAATTAAAGAATAAGTTTTGAAAACAACATATTGATAATTGATGTCAGTATAAATAAGACTATGAATTGATTAAAAAAAGAATTTACAAAAAAAATTGTAGTTGAATGATCAAATTAAATAAAGTGCTAATAGATCACGTTATTCAAATTTAATAATAAAATGGCTTAAAACAAAAAAAATGAAAAAGATCATATAAAGTTAAAGGATTAAATCTTTTTTTTTAAAAAGAAAAAAATAAATTTGCTATAGAAAATAGATAATGTAGAAACGTATGTATTATACTGTTGAAATTAAAGGATATTAAATTGTACTCGTGATTAGTATGTTTTGTCTCTGTATTTATTATGAGATTTTGATATTTTTAAAAGAGGATGACTATCTCGTCAAATCCCTCATTCTATCCTTCAACTCCTTGCTTTACACACTCCGAGGTTAGATTTTGACAAAATATATCACATCAAACGCATTGAAGGTAGTAATAGATCTTTATCACAAAAGTGAGAGGATGTGAATGACAGTTATATTCATATTTGCTTCCGGCGTTGATAAGAGGATACCTTTATAAAACACATTCTATATATATAGTATTATCATAAGTTTTACGATGGTAAAGCTATTTTAATCTCTCTCTTCTTTACTTCATATATATCATAATAGCGTTGTAACAGATAATTATCGAGATTTTAATAAGTGTCAAAATATGTTGATCACTATTATGTCAAATATTGCATAGAAATGTGTAAGAAAAGAGACATGACGTTGAATGATGGTCAGGTGAAGAATGACTGAGGAAAGGATGAAAAGTGAGAGACCGCAGTAAATGTTTTTAAAATAAATAAAAGGAAGATCTAAACATTTTATTAAAAATGTAAAGTGTAGTTGACTTTAATCCCTTACAATAGTGGGTTTTTATACCCAAAGATACTTCAATTGTGACTAACAAACTAACAACCAACTAATTAATAAATCATAGTTAATCACAACTAACAAAATGTCACACATCTCTTATGCAAAGCAAATGTACAAAAGCTCATCTGAGGCATAAGTGTTAGAAATGATTTACTTCATGGGATAAACCGCAAGTGAGAAGATTGAGTGACTTTGCACCAAATCATAGCCAGCGTGTACTCTACAATTCAACACATGTCGTGTGAAAAATAATAGAATGAGGATAGGATAGGATACATAACACACAAACATTGTAATATTTATTATCCTAATTAATTTCATATGCACGTTTTATCTCTGCAGCTATTACATCATTTTCGACTTTAATTTTCCTAATAATACGAAGATGAAACTCGAAGATTCGTCAAACAATAAATCATATTCTTCAAAGTTTGCTTGGATTTTCAACCTCAGCAATACCATATTTTCTTAAATAAGTTTAAGAATGCAGTTGACACATGAATAATCCACATTCCACGCAAGCATGAAGCAACCATTAGAAAAACAAAACAATACGATTTACGAGATCACTTCTAATACCACAACAAGCAATACAAAGACAACTGAAACAGAAACTAAACTAAACTAAGCAAAACTTTCCTGTTCTTCGGACCAAGTTTGCTAGACAAAGGGGTTTAGTACATAACCAACATGTCATTATCAGATTTTATGCATCTCCAATGAACAATATACTTGTTGCATCCATGACCTACGCACTCAAGGGCAAGATCTTGACAGGGCTCACCACAGAGAATGCATTCAGGGTAGTAATAGATGTTCTTGACGAATGTGAGGGGATGTTCATGACCTTTATATGTGTATTTGCTTCTGGCCTTGAAAAATGGATACTCTCCAAAAACACATTCAATATGCATAGCCTTGTCACAAGTTTCACAATGATAAAACCATTTATGTGGATCTCCTCCTTCTTCACAAATGTTACAGTAATGTCATAGAGGATAATCATCACGATCTTGATGAGAAAGTGTCAGAGAATGCTAATCACACTTATGCCATGCAGTGCGTGGTAGTATAATACATCTTCAATTCAAAGCAAACGTGCAATCCTTGCATCTGTAGACATTTTCAAAACATGGCTCTTTACCACAAGCATTGCACTTCCCTTTATAGTTGCTGTCCAAGAAGATGAAATGCGGCTCATCCGCATAATATGTAAAACTATGAGATATTGAAGCGCACCTAAGGCGTAGGTATATGTGAAAAGAAGGTTCCTCAACTGTTTTGTACCAGAAACCACTACCCGTATAGCGACACATACTACATTTGAAAATACCATCTGTGACAAAACTGAACGGTTTTGTATTTTGCCATTGCCAACACATTCTTCGGAGTTCAGCACAGGCCTTGTGCAAAAAGAAATCACAATGTGAACAATAGTAAAATGAAGAAAGGATAGGTAGCACACAACCATTGCAATACTTATTATCCTTAATCTCCTCTGAGAATATCGAATTATGCTCGTGACTAATATGTTCTATCTCTGCAGCTATTATATCATCCCCGACTTTGATTTCCTTGATGATACGAATGATAAAGCTCATAGTTTCATCAGACAAAAAGTCAGATTCCTCAAATTCGTCTGGATTGTCTACTTCAACCACACCATACAATCCCTTCTTTTTCTTATCTATGGCACATTTGACATGGATAACGAAATCACATCCTGGCCGAGAACAGTAATAACTTCCATACTCGATGTTCACTTTTTCAAAACAGATTTTGCAATCCCAATCTCAAGAATCATTTGGTCGTGCAGATGAAAAAGCAATGGGAAATGGGATGGGGATGTTGAGTGAGTTTGATGTGTCGTGGCAATGAAGTGCAATCTTTGTGAACTTGAATGTTGCAGGTAGAACAGATATAGGAAACATTATCTCCATGGTTGCCACAAGCATTACAAATGAAGGTTGTATTTGATCTTAATAACAAAGTGAAAGGGTGATCACCATGAAGTTTATCTTCAATAATGGATGTGTGAAAGATAACGTTGCAACGGACACAACGATAAAAAAAATCCAAACCGCTGCCATCTAGACCGTTCATCGGATTGGCACAGGTTGCGTTCAGGGAAGTCTTCATCGGAATAATTGAAAACAAACAAAAGCTGGTGTACGGTGGCAAGGATGATTAATTGTTGAGGGTAGTTCAACACATTTTTTATGGAAGAACTCCATACATTCAAAATAACCATATGAAGCATCATCTCTTTGAAACGATTTCTTACAGCCCTCGCAATTCAAAAATCCGATTGGATTAGAGAAACACAAAGGATGTGGGTGGGCAGCATGGCGGGTCTCAATCAAGTTTCCAGCACTAGAGTAGTGTGGAATCAAAGCGAAATTAAAGTGAAGATAAAATTCACAAGAAGAAGAAGAACAATGATTAAAAAAAATCCATAAGCCTTTCGTTGGCAAAGGCCGCAAAAAAAAACTCTCTTTCCGGATGTTTCGAAGCTGGAAGCGGAAGAAGAAGAAGAGTGTAGTCGCGGTGATTGGGGTAATGAATCTCCGAGGGCATCTCCGCACATCTTTTATGGAGGTAAAACCCGCACTCTCCGCAGCTGTAGCTCGGACCCTGCACCTCTTTTTCACAGCAAGCGCAGCCGTAAGGGGCGTTGCCTTGACTGCCAGTTTCTTCGTTGAATAGCAATGTATGCTCATGACTCTTGTGGTGAAGCTCAGCCATGTTCTTTTCTCTCTGCGTCTCTTCACTAGTCCAGATTTTTCTCACTTACAGGCACCAAGTAAATGCTTGTAGGGCTGTTCATTAGTTTAATTCGGTGGCCGAACAGATCGAATTATCATTAATCGATTTTTTTTTCTTTAATCGTTAACCGAACTAAAAAAATTTTTAAAAATATTAACCGAACTGAATAAATTTCGGTTAATTCGATTAATTTTCGAATTAACCAAAAAATTTTAAATTTTTCTAATTTATATAAAAATTAAATATTTTATAATTCAAAAAAACAGTTTATAATTCATTTAAATAATATAATTATAAAATAAAATTTTATATAAATTTTTTAATTAATTAATATTGATTTAGGTTTAAAAATTATTGGATCTTAAATTATTAATTGGGTTTTAAATGATTTGGGCTGAGCCCATATGTTATATATAATATTTTTAATTCAGAAAAACAGTTTACAATTAATTTAAATAATATATAATTATAAAATAAAAATTTTATATAAAATTTTTAATTAATTAATATTGATTTAAGTTTAAAAGTTATTGGATCTTAAATTATTAATTGGGTTTTAAATAATTTGGGCTGAGCCGATATGTTATATATAATATATTTAAAATTTAAAATTTTATTTCGGTTAATTAACCGATTTCGAACCAAATTAACCGTTAACCAAATATCCAAAAAAATCTTAACCGTACTCTGATCAAACTAATTCGATGACCGACCAAATTAACCAAATTAATTCAGTTCAATAGATTAATTCGGTTAAAACCAAATTTTAAACACTTAGACTCCATCTTTTGTAATCCTACAAGCTCCAGCCGGCCTCCAAATATTATAAAATTGGTTAAAATATTAAACAGTACACTTGGGAGTTGGGAATGAGCTTTCACAGAGGCAAATTGAGCATATTTGTGATTTTTTTTTTATCTCAAGTGGACTGATGTTGAAGAATATTTAATGTCGCATTCGTTTCCAATCAAATTTGGCCATTCAACAAATTTTGATTTTTTTTTCTCTTTTGACACCCAATTTGGTTAAAAGTTAAAATGGCAATTAGGACTTTAAGAAAATGAGATTGATATCAGTAACAAACAGAAGAGTTAAGCAGACGAGGATTTAAATATTCTTCACCACAGTCTATGCCATGTTCAACGTTCAGTTGGCTGCCCAATAAAGATATGCTTCTTCTGGTTGGAGTTGGAATACAGAAGTTGGAGCATGCATTGAGTTGATGCTATATGTCTTCTTGTTGCCGATACCATTACTATTAGGGTAAATTACAAATTTCATCCCTAGACTTTCTTCTCGTTCTTATTTTGATCATTAAAGTTCATTGAATTTTTTATTTGCTGTTGTTTTACTTACTACTTCGTTAAATATTTAATGGTGTTATGATTGAACATTTTCTTTGAAAAATTATAAAATGACCCTAAAACTTTCTTTATCTTTTGTGAGAAAAATCTATTTTCGATTTCCCTTTGATTTTCGATGATAAAATATCTTCTTCCAAATATCAATAGTTGAGAGGTGTAGAAAGGGGAAGCGAACTATATATCTTGATTACACAGTGATTGGATGGCAGATATTATACATCAGAATGGTTTGAGATTTCATGAGTTTTTGGTCTAGGGTTTAGTTTTATGAGCCATAAAGTGATTTAGGTAAAATCTAAATTGATAGAGTAATAGGAGACAATGAGAGGACTTCGTCTATATCTTGAGTGGTTGGAGAAGACGTTGGAGAATGGTAATTACAACGCCGAAGTAACACATAGATGAAATTATGAAATTTCATATTTGGAGGAAGAACATATAATTAAAAAGAAGAAGAAATGGCGTGAATGACATAGATTCCATGTCAATAAAAAGCAATACACATTAACAAACGTGATTGTCATGTCACCCTTTTATTTTATGATTTAATGCTCGAGTAACCAAAATAAGAGTAAACCAAAAGTTTAATAAGTAAATTGATTTTTTTAAACTTGAATTACCAAAGTAGGAGTGAGAAGAAAATTAAGTGATTACATTTCTAACTTACCCTTACTATTATACAATTATTATTGATATTGATATTGATATATAAATATTATTCACATCAGTCTAATTAAAATATTAATCACCTTGACCCATTGGGTTTTCAATTTGATGTTAATGTGAATGATATTCCAACTTGATTATTCCTTCATTCCTAGTGAGTTAGATAACTCTCCCTTCATTCCTTCTACAAAATTAATTATTGCTTTAGAAATTAGAAATATTTTCTTAAACAAATAAAAAAAGAAAAGTGCCTCATTCTCATATAGTTCTCTATTAACCTTTAATAAACTAAAAGTTAAAGAGTAAAAATAATAATTGAAAAATTAAAAAAAAATCAATGACTAACAAGAACTAAGTTTACTTATTTAGTGGTTTAATACAACACAAACAGTTTTAATTCAGATTAAAGTTGCTTCAAACACGTTAGGGATGGCTCATATACCGGTTGAAGGGCAAATGCTACAGCGGAGTTGAGCGGAATAAGCGATGATCATTTGCAAATAATAAGAAAACAGCCACTCAATGCTCCCGAGGACGAATGCCAACACATGAAACAATAAGTACATTGATAATCAAACCAAGGGTTTTTTTTCCTCGGCAAATATGATTTTATTAATAATCACAAACCATGATCAAATTGAATGCCTCGTTAAAAACTTCCTAGACCTAAACTTTAACGGAGGAAAAGAGTACATTCAATCCAGAAAAACAAGAACAAAACTGAAGCTAAAGAACCCTTAACCGAAACAAAACCAAGGGGGTTTTGTTCATAACACAGTTTTAGTTTAGACTAAAGCGGCTTCATTTCACACATCATTCACTATCACTACCACTATCAGATTTTATATAAGATTTCATTCATTTCCAATGAACAATACACCTGCATTCATCGTCTACACACTCAAGGGCCAGATCTTGACAGGGTTCCTCACAGAGAACGCATTCAGAGTAGTAATAGGTGGATGACCTTCGTATGTGTATTTGCTTCCCACCTTGATAAATGGATACTTTCCAAGAACACATTCGATATGCATAGCATTGTCACAAGTTCCGCAATGATAAAACCATTTCTGTGGATCTCTTCCTTCTTCACAGATGTCACAGTAATGTCGTAGAGGATAATCATCACGATCTTGATGAGCAAGTGTCAGAGAATGCTGATCACACTTGTGCCATGCATTGCGTGGTAGAGTAACACATCTCCAATTCAAAGCAAACGTGCAATCCTTACATCTGTATACTTTTTCATAACTTAACGCTTTACCACAAGCATTGCATTTCCCTTTATAGATGTTGTCAAAAAAGAGAAAATGCGACTCATCCGCATGATATGTAAAACTATGAGATATTGAAGTACACCTAAAGCATATGTATATTCGAAAAAAACCATCATCAAATTTGTAGTAGAAACCGTTACCCGTATAACGACACAAACTACAATTGAAAATACCATTGTGATGAGATTGAACGGCTCTGTAAGATGCCATTGTCGACACATTTTCCGTAATTCAGCACAAGCCTTGTGCAAAAAGAAATCACAATGTGGACAATAGTAAAATGAGGAAAGGATGGGTAGCACACAACCATTGCAACATGTATTATCCATGGTCTCATCTGAGAATATCAAGTTGTGCTCATGACTAATATGTTCTATCTCTGCAGCTATTGCTTCATCTCCAACTTCGATTTCCTTGATGATACGAATGATGGAACTCGTAGATTCATCTAACAGCAAATCAGATTCCTCAAATTCATCTGGATTTTCTACCTCAACCACACCATATAAGTCCTTCTTTTCCACATCTGAGGCACAATTGACATGGATAACAAAATCGCAACCTAGCCGAGAACAATAGTAACTCCCATACTCAATGTTCACTTTTTCAAAACAGATTTTGCAATCCCAATCTCCAGAATCATGATCGTCAGTGCAGATGAAAAAGCAATGGGAAATGGGATGGGGATGGAGAGTGAGTCTGATGTGGCGTGGCAATGAAATGCAGTCTCTGTGGACTTGAATGTTGCATGTAGAACAAATATAAGAAACATGATTTCCTTGGTTGCCACATGCATCACAAAAGGAGTTGTTTGGTCTTAATAACAAAGTGAAAGGGTGGTCATGATGAGATTTGTCTTCAATAACGAGTGGTGGCCAAGCACATCTGGTGTGAATGTTAACGTTGCAAGGGACACAACGATAATAAAATCCCAACAGAATAGTGCTTTGGCAGAGGTTGCATGAGGGGAGTATTCAACTTTTTCTTTGTAAGCAAGCAAAAGCTGGTGTGTACGGTGGCAAGGGTGATTAATTGTTGAGGGTAGTTCAAGGCATTTTTTGTGGAAGTACTTGCATAATTCATAACAATAGTATGAAGCATCATCTATTTTTATTGTTCCGTTACAGCCGGAGCAGTGAAAATCGTCAATTGGATTAATGGAAACCAAAGGATGTGGGTGGGCAGTATGGAGAGTCTCAATGAAATTTCCAGCACTAGTGTAGCGTGGAAGCAAAGCGCAAAAGAAGTCGAGGTAAAATTTACAAGAAGAACAATGATAAATGAATCCCCAAACCTTATCTTCGCAAAAGCTGCAACGAACTTCTCTTTCCTCATACTCCGAAGCCGGAAGGAAAAGAAGAGGATGGTCGCGGTGAGCAGGGTGATGAATCTTCAAGGGCGCCTCTGCACATTTTTTATGGAGGTAAAACTCGCACTCCCCGCAGCTATAGCTAGGACCCTTCACCCCTTCCGTACAGCCAGCACAGAGGTAAGTGGTGTGTCTTGGACATCCGGAGTCTTCGTTGAATAGCAATGGATGGTTATGATTCATGTGATGAAGCTCAGCCATGTTCCCTTTTCTCCGCGTCTCTTCACTGTCCCAGATTTTTCTCACTTACAGGCACCGAGTCAATGCTTGGCTCCAACTTTTGTAATCCTACAAACTCCAGCCGGGCTCAAAATATTAATATTAATCGGTGCACTTGGAAATGGAGTCTCACACACGTAACTTGAACATATTTATGCATTATTTTATCTTAATTGGACTGATGTTCTAGAATATTTAATTAAATAATAAGTCTTTACAGCTCTCCTCTGCCTTTCTTTTTAATTAAGTACTTTATTTTATTTAGGCTGTCCTGCCTTTAGCCATACAACAAATTTTGTATTTTTTTTATCTCTTTTGGCTTAATATATGTTTTGGTCTAAATGAAAGTATGAGGATCAAAGTAACAAAAAGTAACGGAAGGGCCAAAATGACAACTTCACTAAAGTGAAATAGAAAATTCAATGAGTAAATTTACTACCAAAGTGACCAAAATAAGAGTAAATTGTAAATTGAAATTTGAATGATTTTAGTGATCAAAATAAGAGTGAGAAGAGAGTTAAGTGATAAAATTTGGAATTTACCCATAATTAAGTAGTCATTTAAGTAGTTTGGTTCGGTTCAATAGGATATTTTGAATCATCTATTTTGAGGCTGGTTAGAGTAGAGATACAGAAGTTGGAGCCATGCATTGAGTTGATGCTATATGCCTTCTTGTTGCACTTTGACCATTAAACTTTATTAAATTTTCTATTTATTTTTATTTTGGTCATTCTTCCGTTAAATACTTAACAACATTATGACCGGATATTTTCTTTTAAAAAACAAATATGAAATGATCCTAAAACTCTCTTATTTTTGTGAAAAAACTCTATTTTCAAATTCCATTTGTTTTTTTTTTCTATGATGAAGTATTTTCTTCCAAATCTCAACAGTAGGGAGGTGGAGAAAAGGAAAATGAATTGAATATTGATTTCATGTTATCGGATGGTGGATATTATAGATTATAGTGGTTTGAGGTTTCATGTGTTTTGGGTTTAGGGTTGATTTTATGAGTTTTAAAGTGATATAGGTCAAATTTAAATTGATAGAATGGTGGGAGACAATAAGGTGAGTTCGTCATTATCTTTAGTGGTTGGAGAAGACGACAGACAATGATAATTGCAGCTTCAGTGTAACACGAGGATTAAATTATAAAATTCTCATCTTTGGAGGAAGAAAATAAAAGAAAAGAAAGAAGAAGAAAAGGGAAATGACGTGAATGACACACATATTCCATGCCAATAAAAAGTAGTCCACATCAACAAATGTAGTTACAATGTCACTCTTCCATTTATTATTTATATTAAAATGACTAAAATATGAGTAAATCGAAAGTTTAATGAGTAAATTAATTTTTTTTAAATTTTAATGACTAAAGTAGGAGCGAGAAGAAAGTTAAGTGATGATATTTATTATTTATCCTAACTGTTATACAATTATTATTGATAACCCTAAATAAATATTATTTACACCGGTCTAATCAAAGTATTATTCACCTTACCAATAACAAATTGGTCTAGTGGGATAAAACGCTATACCCTTTAAGTAAGGTTAGGAGTTTGAATCATGACGTTTGCGAATGAAGCAAACTGGGTTGGAAGGATCGCCCTTGCCTTTGTAATACCCGATCCGGATTAATTGATTAATAAATCGGAAACCGGTGATTATACCAAAAATTCACCTTGACCCATTGAGTTTTACAATTGAGGGTAATGTGAATGATATCACTTCAACTAACAAAATTTTGCGAATGAAGCAAACTGGGTTGGAAGGATCGCCCTTGCCTTTGTAATACCCGATCCGGATTAATTGATTAATAAATCGGAAACCGGTGATTATACCAAAATATTATTCACCTTGACCCATTGAGTTTTACAATGAGGGTAATGTGAATGATATCCACTTCAACTAACAAAATCCTACATTTAAGATGTATTACAAGTTAAAATATGACCATGTAAACATACTTAATTATAGGGTTTAGGGTTTAATATTTAGGATAAACAATTCTCAAATTAAAATTAAAATATATTACACATATGAATAATCCACAATGCACGCAAGCAGGAAGCAACCGCCGGAAAAACAAAACAAGACAACTTCTAATACCACAAAAAGTAATGCAAAGACAAAGGAAACAGAAACTATTTTTTTTTTTTTGAAAATAGGAAACAGAAACTAAACTAAGCAAAACCAACCTGTTCTCCAGACCAAGTTTGCCAGACAAAGGGGTTTAGTACATAACAAACAGTTCTAGTTTAGACTATAAAACGACGTCATGCATCATTTACTGCCATTACCAGATTTAATGCATCTCCAATGAACAATATACTTGCATCCGTGCCCTACACATTCAAGGGCCAGATCTTGACAGGGTTTACCACAGAGAATGCATTCAGGGTAATAATAGATGTTCTTGACAAATGTGAGGGGATGTGCATGACCTTCGTATGTGTATTTGCCTCGGGCCTTGATAAATGGATACTCTCCAAGAACACATTCAATATGCATAGCCTTGTCACAAGTTTCACAACGATAAAACCATTCTGTAGATCTCTTCTTTCTTCACAAATGTCAAAATAATGTCGTAGAGAATAATCATCAAGATCTTGATAAGCAAGTGTCAGAGAATGGTGATCACACTTGTGCCAAGCAGTGCGTGGTAAGTTGACACAAAACATATGAAAAGCAAATGTACAGTCCTTGCATCTGTATGGATTAATTACTTGCACTTATATCTTTACGACAAGCACTGCAATCTCCTTCGTTACTTAGGGTCAAAGAAGAGACAATGTGACTCATCTGCTTGATATGTAAAACTGTGAGGTACTAAAGCACATCTAAGACATGCGCACGATAAACCATCCGTTGCGTAGGAGAAACCATTATCATGTAGTAATAGATACGACATACGAAAATACCATTTGTGACAAGATGCACAGACCTCCTTTAAACCATAACTTACACATCCTCCGTAATTCAGCACAAGCCTTATGCAAAAAGAAATTACAATGAGAACAATAGTAAAATGAGGAAAGGATATGGAGCACACAATCATTGCGATATTTATTATCTCAAAGCCTTAAAGCTTGCCTGGTCTCATGGCTTTGAGAAAGTCTCGTTTCCAATAGATAGCGTCGATGCTCACAAGCTCTTATCTTCTCTGTCTTTCGATAGTCCCTACTCCTTAATTCGGGCCATCACTGCTCTAATAAAAAAGGCATGGGTCGTTGATATTAACCTCGTCCGACATGAAACCAACAAAGCAGCTAACATATTTGCCAATGACTCCTTTTTTTTCAGCTGATACTTTATCGATTTAAAACACAGCCTCTGCATATCTAAAAAGTATTTTCGATAGAGATCACCATAGCCCCCTTCATGGCCGTGTAATTTACTCATGATGTAATGGCTCTTGCCTCCTCCATATTCAGAAAAAATAATGATATGGAACAATAAATTTATTAAATGAAAAAAAACAAAATTTATATTTCTCAATTTTTTATAATTATATTTTTATAAGTTTTTAGAATTAGGATCAAATTAATAGAGTTTGTAAAATTGAAAGAGTAAATTTATAAATATAAAGGATTCAACATTTAAACTAATAAAATTTTGATTTTTATAAAAACTAAAAGTAAAAATTCTTTGATTCGTCATTATTAACCATTGAATTAACTTTAAAGCAAATTATATTAATTTTTTTATCAAATTGAATAATAGGACTTAACATGCTATGTTAGTATTTTATACCAGAAGTGAATGTAATCAAAGCAAATTAAAAGATCAGTGATTATAATGAAATTTTTTCAATTTTAGTAACCAAAGTGAGAGCATTTTAAAATATTCAGTGAATACGAGTATAATTTAATTGTGATCAGGAGTTAAATCTTCACTTTCGCTCTCTCGTCTTCCTTCCTTTAGAATTTTTCTCTAGACGCCTACCAAAGGAAATGGAGTTGGTTAACAAACTGGCGGCGCTAGCAACAAGAGCAGCCAACAACATCGTGGTGATAGACGTATGTTTAGTCACCTCGTTCGCGGTTTTAGGCATTCGATCCCTGAACCAGCAGAATGTGATCGAATCCCTGGAAGCCGAGAGAGATTCATTGACGAAAACCAACAAAGCCATGAAGAAGACGATGTGGGATTGGAAGCAGCAGCTCTTCGACGAAGCCTCGTCATCTGCTTCCCCTCTTGTCCCTCTCGCTAACCTCAAAGCTATCTATGGCGAATCCACCGCTCCTTCAACAGGTAAAACCTTTTGTTAATAATGATGGGTCCGTTTCGATTGAAAAATAAAACCCTTTTGTTTTTTTTTTTGTTTTTTTTTTTGGCAGGAGATGGTGTAAAAGAAGGGGTGAAATCTCCACCAACCAAATTTGTTGTTTGAACTTCGAATTGGGTTATAGCAAGCAAGGACCTTTTGGTGTTGAGAGGTGAAATTGTTCTTCTTTGTGATCAAATTCTTCATCAGAATTCTGTAATAATTTTGTTAGGTCTTAGTTTTTGTTATTTTAGAGGAGAAGAAGATAGGAAGAATGAATGCACGGAAACTGTTTGTGAAAATTCCTCAAGGACTAACAAGTATGATGTTTCATGATGGCATATGCTCGATGATGGTAGCTTATGACATGTTACTTTGTCAAACTTAGTTCAATGATACCATGACTATGCTTGATTTTTTTAACTCCACAATGGCAATGCTTTGCAAATTAATATTTTGATTTTTCTCAAATTTCATTCAAAATCGATAAAAATCGAATTAAAGCTTTAACCTTCTAATGTTTTGATCGAGAACCATTCCGATATTTAAATTAACTAAATATGCATGAAAGATGTCCATTTTAGTTCATAATAACAATTTGATTAGAACCCTGAACCAAATGGTGACCAAAGAGATGCAAGAAAACTTGAATGATTTTTTAGAAAGATGAAACTGAAAATTATAACTAATGTGATTAATTTAGTGCCAGCATACATGAAACTTTGGTTTTGATTCGGTTCCAATAAATTACTAACATCCTTAACAATATAATACTATTTTACATTATTTAATACATGTACTAATAATCATATTTATCCAAAATGAAAATAACTTGCTTAGAGAGATGATTGGATTATTGGCCGCCCACTACAGCAGCAAGCTGCTTCTTAAGATTGAGTACCTCGATCGCCTTTGATGCTAACCGTTCCTTCAAGTTTGCTGAAGCTTCTTCGAAGTTCCTGTTCATGATATCTGACTCATCCACGGCTTTTTTGTATCGATAACGAAAGGCATCCAACTGCGCTTGCGTTCCTCGAAGCCTCATTCTCTGTTTTGCCATTTCCTTGCCATTGTTGACATGATCCTGTAATAAAAGCAAAATGCATATCATCATTTCCATGGAAATATGAAAGCAATATACCTACATACTTTAGGTAGCTAACATTCAGAAAGCATAGAGGAATGGGAATGGTTCAAATGTTGGCATTTAAGAGGCAATTTGGTGAAGGCAAATGCAGAATTGTGATGTAAACATGGAAATGATAAAATGCCAGTCTAAACTTGATTCCTCAGAAATTTTAAGAAAATCATTTTCTTAGAGGAAAGCTGGACACGGACCACCCCAGATTCCGGATTTCCACAGTTTTACCGTTTCTCCATAGCGGTCTATTAAAATCGGCTCATAATTCATATCCGCTTATAATTATCGGATGAATGAAAACTCGTGTCCAGTATACGACAGTGTGCAATTGGCTAGTGGCTTACATTGTGCATCTTGACTTCCATGCAGGATAATCTGCTACTCAGTTCCTCAACTTGAACTTTAGCCTCCATTAACTGCCAAATGAATCTCATATGATATCAGATAATTCTCGTTAAGTGAGATGCCAACTAAAAAAAAGGTGTTTTTTTAGCAACCGACCACATCATTAGAGTCTTTTCTGAGATTTTCCACTTCAAGCAGACACCTTTGAAGCTCTTCAATTTGTGTCTTTAGTTTATTCCTTTCTGTTAACATGTCGTGAAGTTGATTTTTAAGATTCTGCCAAGGATAAAATAAACTTCTCAGTCTCCAGAAAATAAACATTAGTGATAATTTTCTTATGTTTTCTCTTTTTTTTAGATGAAAACCTGGAGCTCGTCTGAGAGGTGAGTTTCAGAGACCAACTGTTGAATTTCAGCCGATAAATCATCTCGTTCTCTTTTGACAATTGCCAGCTCCTCCTGTGCATGTTGAAGCTCCAAAGAAAGATTTTCCACATTCGAATTAAGTGTCTGCAATTAAAAATAGGGTTAAGTGTGCATCCCTTAATGATATCATCTTTTTTTATAATAAGATAAAGGAAATTACTTGCTGAATTTGTTTGCTCTCGGCATAAGCATTCTCTATGTCACTTTTAAGCTGGTCAATATCCAAAGACTTCTGAATACTGCAATAGTAGAAAGCTCGAACAACTTGATACTCATAAATATAGCAACAAGGATAACATGAAAAGATATGATGTTACATCCAGAGATGGAATATTTCATATTTGTTAAGCTGATTAGGATTTTCTAAATCCCAAATTACTTTCAACATAAAAATTATTTGAATAGGAATGGAAGGAGCTTTCCAAGTTGCTATTAAAAGCATATGGAGACGAACCTGCATTTTTTCTCCAATTCAGCACTTCGGTCGCATTGTGTCAATCTTTCCCTAAGGACATCGTATTCTTTTCTGCACAACTCCAACTCCTTCGTCACCTTATATATACCAAAATCCTGATCAGATTAACAAATGTACATTCTGGATTTTGAAATCCAATACCATGATCTTTTTGCAAAGAACATCCACAAAACAAATAGGAACTCAAGGCAGTTATTTGGGCCGAAGGGCACAAAAATATACCTTTAAAATGGTAGAGATAGAAAATAAGAAATTGGTGCAAAAAGAAACTATGGCATACTTGGCTATAAAATAAATAAGCAGTCAAAATATATTTGGACTGCACAGCCTTGTTTGGAGGACTAGAAAAATATTATGAAATTAGAAAGGGAGTAGATGTGCATGATTGTAAATGATCATTTAAACCTCTCAAACGTCTGCAATAAGGTGAGACTGGTACGGAGCCAACTCAGGCTGAAAGCTCTTCACTGGCTTTACTATACTTTGCCCCAAACTAATAGACAAAGATAAATAATTAAACTAGTAGAGTTACTCTATGCATAATGAATGTAATGCAGGTCTAAATGCTGAAGGACACAATTTTCACTAAGACATATCATCAGCAGAAAAAGTACTAAGAATTTTTTTTTTTTGATAGGAATGTGAGGCCTCATTAAAAAACCCCTCATGATTAACGGACCACCAAATCGGTGTTCCTTAATCAGCGGAAGGAAAAAAGAGTACCTCGATTTATTAATAAAACATACTCATACAAATTTCTTAAACAAATACACCTTAAACACCAGCATAAAAAACAGACTCCACGCACAATCTACTAAGAACCAGAACACAGACCAAACTCATCCAATCCCTTGTTTAGCCAAAGAATCTGCCTCCCAATTGCAACTCCTAGGAATGTGCCTAACAATAATCTCCCTAGCCGAAATTAGAGATACAATTTTCCCAACCAAGGAACTAAAGAAAGGAGGGGCTGAAGTCGGCACCATAATCCACTCCACAGCAACTTTACAGTCACTCTCAATGATCAGTCTTCCCTCCTTAGCCCAAGCTGATGCGAGAAAAAAATCAATGCCTCTTTCTATTGCTTTCAATTCTGCCAAAGGGGGAAGACAAGGGCCAACACTATTCGAGAAAGACCCTAAGATATTACAGCTAGAGTCCTTTAAAATGCCTCCAATTCCACCCACTAGCCCATCACCTCTGACCGCCCCATCAACATTAAACTTAAAGAAATGTGATGGAGGAAGCCATCTCTGAACGATTTTCCTTTTCACAGTAGGACACGGAAGCTTATCTGCAATAGTGGGATCCCCAATGAGAGAGTCGACTTGAATATTAGCATTCGGAAACTTATCTAGATACCATTTAGCCAATCTGAATCTTGAAATGAAGAAAAGAGATGATCTGTCCAGCTTCATCTTATCAAACACTACTGAATTCCTAGTCTTCCAAATTGACCAGAAAACAGCACCTGGAATAAATTTCCAGATTAAGGAATTCACCCTTAAATCAGACCAAGAACTCAACAGAGACGGCGGATCATTAGGCAGAACTGAAGAGATATCCCATAGTCTGAAAAAACTATTCCATAAATTCCTTGCGACCGAGCTGTAAATAAATAAATGTTGGACAGTTTCTTCCTGTTTCAAACACAACGGACATAAAACTACTTCCAGAGCAACACCCCTTCTCTTCAACTCTGATCTGACTGCCAATTTTTGGTGTGAAACCTGCCATAGAAAAGTTTCAACTCTGGGAGGAGCAAGACCAGACCAAACCTCCTTACTCCAATTAAACGTTCCTCCAGACTTAAGGGAAAGAGTCGACCTGCAGGATTTGGCCGAGAACAAACCATCACCCTTCCCCGACCACATAAGGAAGTCATCCACTGAGTCAGACAGAATGATGTTATCCAGTATAGACATAAGTTGAATCCACTGTTCTAACTCCTAATCACATAAGTTACGCCTAGATTGAATGTTCCATACCCAACCATTATTCACAAAACAGCCGAACTCCGACACCTTACCCCACTTGTTAGTTGAAAGTGCAAAAATCCTTGGAAATTTATTCTTAAGAGTGTCATCGTTTACCCAAATATCATTCCAGAAAGATACATACTTACCATTACCAACATGAACCTTGGCATGAGCTCTCAACCCATTTCCCACTTCATCTTTTTTCATAAAATTGTTAATTATACCTTTCCAAATCCACGAGTCCATAGGAGAAACTACTCTGTCAATAAAGATGGACAGATTACTTACATTATGCTTACTACAGATCAATTTTTTCCATTGAGTATCTTTTTCATTCCCAAACTTCCAAACCCATTTACCAAGTAGCGCTCTGTTTAAAATATTCAGATCCACAACTCCCAATCCTCCCTCTTCCTGTGGTTGACACACATTTTTCCAGCTCAACCAGTGAATACGATTATGTGTAGTACTCTCCCCCCAGAGAAATCTGGCCATTAAAGTCTAAATCTTCTTATTCACCTTATACGGCATTTTGAACAAAGATAGGAAAAAAATCGGGAGCGAGGACAGAACTAACTTTAGCAGCACCACTCTCCCCGCCATTGACAGTGCAGCAGCTTTCCAATGATAATTTCGAATGAAATTTCTTAATGATCGGATCCCAAATAGCCTCAGAATTACTCTTAGCACCTAACGGAAGGCCTAGGTACACCGTGGGAAAAGAACCTACAGCACAACCAGCCATAGCAGCCCAATTGTTTAAGATGGCATTTTCCAGATTAATGCCATACAGATGGCATTTTGAAAGATTTAGATAAAGCACCGTCATAATACTGAAGATCCTCAGAACTCTCCTAATATTTAATATTTGAGTAGAAGAGTCACGACAGAAAAGGATAAGGTCGTCGACAAACTAGAGGTGTGTTAATAGGAATGGATCAGAACTCCCAATCGAAAACCCTTGAAAGAGACCCAAATTAGAAGCTTTACTCAACATAAGGTTCAGGAGTTCTCCAACTATATTAAACAAAAGAGGGGATAAACTGCATCCTTGTCGAAGTTTTTTAGCCATAGAAAATTCCTCTGTTGGTGAGCCATTCAACATAACCGAGATTGATGCCGAAGAAAGACACTGCTCAATCCAAGACACCCAACGCTTGCCAAATCCCATGACTCTCAATAATCTTAGAAGAATCGGCCATTCTATAGAATCGTAGGCTCTCTTGAAATTGACTTTGAAAACGACCCCTCTCAACCTTGTTTTCTCCAGAAGTGAATACCTTCATTCGCAAGGAAGGCACAGTCTAGCAGCTGTCTCCCCGGTATAAAAGCAAATTGGGAAGGGCTGACAATATCCTTAATGACTGAAACAAGTCTCTTTGATAAAACTTTAGAGATTATTTTATATAAACTACCCACAAGACTTATAGGTCTGAAATCTTCTATGCAAGCCGGATTACTCTTCTTTGGGATCAGAGTGATAAATGAATGGTTAACCCCATGATCCCATCTCCTTCCACCATAGAAGTCATCCACAAACTTCATAATTTTCACCTTTAAAAAGGCCAGAATTTCTTGAAGAATCCCATCGTAAAACCATCCGGCCCAGGTGCTTTGGCACTAACCAAGGAAAAAATGGCCTCCCTAACCTCCTGCTCAGAAAACTTAACCTCCAGGTTGTTCCTTTGATCCACACTGAGTTTCGCAAAAGAAAAATGCAAGTCTTCTACTTCCATAGAATCCTTAGAATTATAAATTTTCTTGAAGAAATATGAAACATAGGACTTAATTTGGTCGGCATCAATCAGTTCCTCACCCTCCACCTTCAATGCAGAAATGTTATTGATTATGTTCCTGTTCAAAGCACACAAATGAAAAAACCGAGTATTTCTTTCACCATCTTTGAACCATTTCACCCTCGACTTTTGGAACCAAATACTCTCTTCAATCCTGTGCAATCTCCACAGCTCCTTTCTGAAAAGCAAAAGTTGATCCCGATCATGCGACAAAATCCCTGAGCCTTGGGCTTTCAGCTCCAAATCATTAATTTTGCTTTCTAATTCTGTAATGGCTTCTGAAATACCCACATGACTTCTGTTGGGCATCTTTCTAATCATATGTTTCGTACCTTGTAAGATACTATAAATTCCCCTTCTCCCTCTGACCATTTCACAATCTGCAATGGCATTTTGAACAGCATCTACAAAACCGTCTTCCTCTAACATGTAGTTAAAAACCTAAAAGGC